CGTGTGTGTAGATATTGAAAGACTGAATAACAATGGAGAGTTCTCAACAATATCCCTCTAGGAAATGCAGTCAAGGGTTTTATTCTGAAATTTCTTCTCCAGTACTAACTACATATGAAAAAGCCAAGACAAAAGAACCCACATACATTACTCCCAGGTGACTTTACTCAAGAAAAGACCTAGCCATCTAGCAGGAGAGATGATGCTTCCTACGCAGCTGAGCATAAGGAGTGTGGGGTTGTCTTCCACAGCAAGAGTCAACTCTGATGGAGTTCGTGGTTATCAGTTAGCTTTAAACTTCAGTTTGTGGGAGGGAAGTGTTGGCAGAGTAGGTAAAAATGAGAAGCCAAAGTAGGTAAGGATGTGGCCAGTAGGGCTGGGGCAGTGGCTGACCCACAGGGATGCCTAAGCCCAGCTGGCATGGAGGGTCTGTGTGCATGGCTGCATGGTTCCCTTAGCCTTGGCTGTCCAGATACTTGGAAGCACCTCTTCTGAATCGGCTATCAGGGAAGAAATCCCTTGTGTATGCCAATCTGTTCATCCCTGTGCTGATACTTAGGAGCTTAGCCTTACTCCTGCTGCTCCTCCCAGGTCAAAGAAGGGAGTTCTAGACCTGCCCATCTCCTTACCCACAGGTTCTAGGGGAGTGATTGACACGGGGAAGTAAACTGGACACATTTGACCCACCCCTGCCCTCTCCTTCTGGGGTAACAATAGCCTGTAAGAAAAGGGGGTTCTTTTTCTCCCCCACAGTGGGGAACGCCTCCCTAGTTCAGCTTGGCCTGTGCTTGGAGGAGTGATCCTGCCTAACTCTGGGGCTCTCACACTGGATAGTGTCTTTCTCGTTGGCCTTTGTTAATAAGAAAGATTTAGAGCTGGGGTGCAGCTCAGGGTAGAGTGATTGACCAGTGTGTGTGACGTCCTGGACCCCACCCCCAGCACCAGAAAAAACAAAAAGAAATGTTACTAATAAGGATTTCACTTGGCTTCTGTCTTCCATTCTTTTGATTTATTTATCAAGTTGTTCAGCTCTCAGAAAAAGAGGGGTACTATTTGTGAGCCCCCTCCAGTGACCCCAACCAGATTAACTATTTAGTCATGGTGTTCTCACACTGGTGTGAGGCTTAATCAAGGTGGCAGCATAGTGGTGACATGGCCTTGGGGGTGGGTCTCTTCCACCCAGAACTATAACTGGAGAACTGACCACAGTAGCAAGGATAAGACAATATTTTTTTGAGGTACTGGGAAGTGAATTCAGAGCCTTCACAATCAGCTACATCCCCAGCCTTTTATTTCATTTTTTACCTTTTGAGACAGGGCTAAATCCTGATATTGCCCAGGCTGGGCTGTCACTTGTAATCCTCCTGCCTCAGCCACCACACATTTTAAGACAGTAATCTTGATCCCACAAGAGAGTAAGTGGAGTCTCCTCATTTCCCACGATAACCTGGCATCCTGAAGACCCCTGGCATGTGTTCTTTGCGTCTAGATATCCTCCGTGGGCTGTGGTGTCTTGGTCCTCTGGGGTGGTCCCATTCATCTTAGCTGCCAACGTAGGTCTTGTCTCCATCAGTGGTCTCCAGTACCACCATTTGGGCCAAAGTGGAAAAGATTCCTTCAGTCTTGTTTCTGGATCACCACCAAACTTTCTTGAACTTTCAGCTCATTGTGACCTTAAGGTGAAAATTATAGCTCCAGAAGCAGGCGTCAAATGAACAAATGCTAGGAGTAGTCAAGTATCAGGGAAGGTCCTGGGGGCACACCTGCAGGACACACAGGAAGGCGAGACAGACTCGCGCATCCTTACTGTGGAAGAGTCGGCCGACAGGCACCAATCCTGGCATGGGGCTTCCAAGAGCAACGCCTTGGACCTTCTCCATGGGCTCTCGAGGCATCACTCCGGGCACTTTGACAGGAGGAACCCCAGTGAAAATGGAGAGCAACAAGTTACATTTTTACGTTTCTCTGCAAACCTTCAGATCATGTGTGATGAGGTCAAAAAAAGTTTACGCTTAATTTATGAAAAGATGCCAGGGAGATAGTTCAAAAAAAAAAAAAAAAAAAAAAAAAAAAAGAACCAAAAACCAGAATGATTAAGACAAACAACAAAGGCAACACCTTGTTTCTTTTCTGTCCTTGTCTACTCTTGTTTAAACAGGAATGGAAAAAGGAAATCTAGTATTTTAACAAACCTGTTGACAGTTTGCTTTTATTTGATTTTTGCCTCATTCGCATGAATAAAAAGTAGAGTGAGAGGTTTACCAATACTACAAAATATATATAAAATACTATAGTATTGTTAAACTATGGTATTAACAATACTATAAAAACCATGGGAGGGGGCTTTCATCATTAACTTCCTTCTCAGAGGATGATTGTATCTTTTCTGTCAGCCAATGCCATTTGAAGCCTTTCTCCAACACCATGGAAGGTGACAGGAGTTAGGGATTCCTTCAGATGGTGCTGAGATATTATCCAGCTCCTAAAATGAAAAAAAGAGGGCCTGCTAGATAAATCAGGGTGAATACTCAGTCAGGGATGAAGGGAGGAGGGCTCAGGAGCATGCCTTAGTGTCAGAGACTGGGATGGGGAAGAAGATACTTTTCTCACCCGAAGGGAAGCCCCCACCACCACTGTCCTGCTCCCTTGGGAGGATGGGACGCAGGACACAGGAACCTTACAGTGACCCTCATGATGAGGCCAGTGATCCTGCCCCAGAGAGCAAAGGAGCCTAGGACCGGGGATGGTCAGGAGCACCACACATAGTCAGCACATCAAGCCTTAGCTAGCTGTGCACCTTAGGCACGGGTTCCCTGGGCAGTATTTGGTCCATATCTGACTCGTTCTGGCCAATTTTCAGGAAATGTGAGAGGCCTGTTTTTGATGGGGCCACACTTTTATTCTAAATTCCATTTTTGCCTTCTAAACAGAACATTCTCAGTTTTGTCTTTCATAAGTTTAGAAAGTGATCATGAATTAAGTGTTGCCCCATCTAGGAGTATTTGTATATCACCGGGGACTGAAGCCTTGGGAGTCTCAGGGCAGTGGTGAAGGAGGGTGGCAGGTAGGGGAGAGAGGGTCCCTCTGGAACACCGAGTATAGCACATAGGACAAGTCCCCAGCTTCCCAGGGACAGCGATGTACAGTGATGGTGGGAAAAGTGGCTTGATTTCACATTGGATTAGTGATGCCTGCTGGCATGAGTGGCTACCTGAACAAAACCCTGAAATAACAGAGCCGTGATAGGGCTGTTCCTTTGAGCCGGTGGCTGTGAAGGTGGTTGTGGAGTTCTGACCAGCACTGGCACAATTCTTCCTAGGATGCTTCTTGAGCATGTCCTTGTAACTAGGCACAATGGCCCTAGCCCTTGGAGAGAGCAAAGCCAGTGAGCATAGCCAGGAAATAACAGAGCTCAGAGAGGTTTACCACTGGTACAGGTAAGGAGCACACTGAGACAACCCCCAAAGCTATGGCTTACCAAAGACAGCAAGGGCTTTTCTAGAGGAAACATGTGCCTATTCATATTGGGAAGACATGGGGTCTTGCGTAGGGTGGGCACCTTCCTGAGCATCCTCAGCTTGAGGTTATACTTCGTCCAACACCAGCGTTCAAACAAGGAAGGTGGGAAGGCCTCCTGGGTAGAAAATTCAGCATTATAATGAGGTTACAATCAGCAAAGCTGACTCTAGGTAACCTTGGAGAGTGACTCAGCACTTCTGGATGGTTCCATGTGGTTTAGTTTGAAGGATCTTTTCTGAAATGAGAAAACAACTCGCAGAAGTGTTGACAGTCACAAGAAGGGGAAGCAGCCTGTGTCCCTGCAAGCACGGGTGATGGCCCTGAAAATCCCTGCCTAGCAACTGAAACATGGCAAGTGGTCCTGCTTGCCCATTGTCTTACCTGGTTATTCAGCCTTTCTGGTGAGTCTGTGAATTATCTTTCAGTACATTCCTTCCCCATTTAGCTCTTCACAGATCATCGCTAGCCAGGATAGTTTCTGTTGCTTGTAGCTGGGGATCCTGGCTGCTCCATGTGTGGAGCAGAGTCTCCACAGAAGGCTACGTGCCACTCACCATGAGCAAGGGGATGCGAAATATGAACACTAGCCTTTTGTGGAGCACATTCTGTATCAGGTGCTTTACCTGGATTCATCCTGTTGATCACGAGAACCACCCTAGAATAGATACCATCATTGTCATCGTTGTTTCACAGAAAGCTGAATTTTGAAAGTGTCTGTGTCCAGGGCCTGTTCCCATCATGACCATGACAGAGCCTAGCCCCAGTCTTTAGTTTCCATCAAGGCTTGTATCTGCTCTCAAGCCCCGTGACAAAATAACTCATCCTCCACTGAGCTTGCCCTGAGCACCGGGAGATCTTTCTATTATTTTTAATTTTACCTACATGTGATATCTTCTCTCTACCCTGCATTATCAGGTCCTGTTTTCCTGCCAACCTGGAGTTACTTCAGATCCCTCTAATACCATCTTATTCTAACGATGTTGTAAAATCCTTGAGGGTTCTCATCCCAGCTGTGCCACTCATGAGGATGTGGTCCCAGCCAATGCTTTGAGGATGGGAATGTGACTTTGAAGTGCTGCTAGGGAGGGCTGTGGTCTTCACAATGCTCAATTTAACCCGTGCTCACAAGGCACTGGACAATCAGACCAGTCAATAGCTCTAACTATCTGAGGTGCCTGAACCATACCAATGATTGATGTTTTGGGGTGAATGTTCTTTGTAAGCTGTATTAGCATGAAAAGCATTCCAGGCATTATTATTTAGGTTTTCATGTCTCTTGTAGCTGCCTCAAAGATTATCGTATTCTAATGTATTTAACATATCTCTGAATTACTGGGTGAATGAATGGATATTCAACTTGGCCCATTCCCTCAGCTTCCTAAGATGAATGTCAAAAACCAGTAATTCCCTATTCTGACTGAGTGATCACAACCTGGGTCATCTCTTTGTGTATGTGGTGGGTGAGACGCTCATGAACTTCAGCCATCCTCAGTTCATGTGTTTGCATGCCAAGTGATATGTCACACATACCTTCAGACAGATGGAGCCTGGGACTTTGCACTAATGCCAAGGAGGCAGGCAGAGCAAAGTGACCCTTAGCATTCTTGGGCCGCCTGGCTCAGGTGAGGTGGCATATAGGTGGTGTGTTCTGCTCTGTGCTGCCCCAGTAACTGCCTGGCTCCCTACCAGCTCTGCATGGCAATTCTCCCTCAGGAAGGGAGCATCTTCCTGGAGCCCCTGCTGGGCCAGCCTCCGTTGCTTGGATCCCACCTACCTGCCTGGCGCTCAGAGTCTGGTGCCCAACGTTCTTTCGTCCTTCTGTTTCGTCTTCCGTCGCTACCATGCCGACAGCTGCAGGAACACATGGCGCTGGCTTGGCAGCTGCGACGCACAGATGCTGGGCTCTGTAATATACTTTCCCCCCTCTGCTGCTGCTCCAGAGTGCATCTCTGGCTGCCTGGATGTCTTGGCTACTGCCTAAGGGAGGGGTGTGCTCTGAGGTGCTAGTGGAGGGTGAAACCTCAGGGACTCGCTGCTGAGCATGCTCTGTTCTCAGGATCTTCTTTGCCTTTTTCTCACTCACTGTCGCTCTTTACACTGCTGTGAATGCCTGAGAATCTTTTCCATCTGGCTTGGAGGGAGACGGTGTTGAGGTGTCATGTTCCCCCACTCTTGAAGCCGTCTGCATCCGGGTCCTCTTTAGTTCCTGGTGGCCTTCTTGCAGGAGTCTCCACATCGAACTCATCTCTTGGCCTGGGTCTTGCCTGCATCCTTTATTTCCATGGTCCTATCAGTGAGTTCCTTATCACCAAATATGACTGTGTCTCTTCTTTTCTTGAAACCCCCTGCAGTTTGTAAAACAAAACCTGAAACCCTTAGTGTGACTCAAAGCCCCTGCCCGACCCAGCTGCTCTGCTCACCCCTAGCTTCTCCTCTGCTTGGGCCACATCTGTTTTGACTGAAACAAGTCCAGCTGTTTCTTAAAGTTGGTTTTGCACTTGTTCCTTTCGCCTAGGAATTTCGTTCTTCCTCTTGTCCATTCACCTGATTCCTTCCGAGCAGAGTGCTTTCTGGGGCACAGTCTTCAGCACTGGCCTGACCTTGGATGGACCAACTGTAGATCTCCCATCAAAGCCATCTCCCTGCAGGGACAACTGTGTAGGCAGAAGTGCTGCTAGGACACCTACTTGATACTGGGGCTGGGATGCCCATCTGAGAAGTCACAGTGCTAGCTCTTAAGGAAAGGATAGTTACAATGGAGAGTGGAGTGAGTTCTAGCCCAGAGAGATGCACAGAGTAATAATGGAGGGGCTGGGCCCTGCCTGCGTGCTCCTGCACACCCTGAACTTCCCTGTTTACTCTTTAATTCCCTAATTGTGTGCTTTCCCTTTGTCTTCCCAACAATGTCAAGGACTGACTCTTGCTCAACCCTGTGCCCACTCAGTGCCCTGCACGGAGCAGGAAGTCAGGAAAAGTGACCGCAGCAGCATGCAGAGCATGTGTGCACCCAGAGATGCCGCCAAAGGCCTTGTGGGAGGGGCGGCCAGGTCTGGGTGCATGGCAACCCTGAGGGAAGGGCCCGGGACAGAAATGTGGGACACCAGGAGCCTCTAGGTTCTGAAACTTTTCTACTTTGTTTTACAAAGTGAGCATCTGTCTTTGCATAAGGTGCAATGGTCTGGGGACAGACACCAGCATCCCTTTTCTTGTTCCTTATTTTTGCCTTTCCTCTGCTTTTTTATTTTTTCTGGCCAGAGAAAATATTCATTAAAGAAAACTGCATGACCAGGCATGGTGGCACACACCTGTAATTCCAGCCCTTGGGAGGCTGAGGCAAGAGGATCACCAGGAGCTCGAGGCCAGCTTGGGCTACATAGTGAGTTCAGCCTGTATTGCAGAGCAAGACCCTGTCTCAAAAAAAAACAAGGGAAAACTTCATGTTATTGAAAATAATCTTTATGTACATTTAAAATAAAGTGATTTTTATATTTGCATTGTCGAGAAATTAGAAACTTCTGACAAATGAACGGAATTTAAAGCCTTGAGACGCCGACCACCCAGAGTTTCCCAAACCTCTGCAGTTGATGCACTGGCCCACTGATCTCCTTTTTTCTCTGACACACACCTATAGGGAAATTTTTGGGTGCATCTCCTTCACTTACCAGCTGGCGACCCAGATCATGTTGTTTAACCTCCCTGCCTCAGCTTCCCCATGGCCCATTGGAATTCACAGTAAGGCAGAGCCCAGTGCTTTTACAGGAATGAAATATTAAGTCAGGGGTTTGCAACAGTGCTGGCTGTGTGGTAAGCACCAGTTCACTAATTAACATGTGTTTATGGAAGGCTTATTTTATGCCTGGCATGATTTATCTATGTATGTATATGTGTATGTATGTATTTATCTTTACAATACATAATAAATACATTCACTGTGTGGAACCAGTACAAGAACCTATCACATCTTGGTGTCTTTTTTATTCCCCTATCTTCCTTCCCAACTCCCCCATCCCAGATACCCTTAATTTTTGTTTGTTTGTTTCTTGCAGGGCCTTGAACCACATATACTAAGCAAGGGTTCTACCCCGAGCCACATCCCTGCCCAAGACCTGCTACCCGTGCAGCTGATACTCTGGTTTAAGAACCAGAACTACCCAACCAAACAACAGGAACCTTCGTATTATTACCAAGAGTATTGCAGCATATTTTGTATGAATCTGATTTTCTCATTACGATGTCTTACTATGTATCATTATATTTTTCTAAGTCATGAAACCATTCATTATTCTAAATGGGATGTGGTATTTCATGGAAAGAATATCATTATTTTGCATAACAGTATCCTTCTGCTAAGTATTTAGCTGGTTTCCTATTTTTCAGTATTTTAAAGACTGAAAGGTTGAAAATCCTTTTATGTACATCTTTGTGCACTTGGCAGCCGCTCCATCAAGACTCTAAGAGGCGAGTTCAGGTTGTGGGATGTGCAAGGTTAGGCTTTGGACGATGTCATCTCACACGAGGTATGTGCCTACAAAGACAGTCCCGCCAGCGCTGTAAGAGGAACCGACCCTACCTGAACCCCAAATGCAACTTTAATTCTTTCTAACTTTTGCAAATTAGAGGAAAATGATATCTTGTATCATCTTTATTTGTGTTTCTTAACCTCTGGTACAGCAGGACTTTAACAAATATAGATACTGTATTTCACTGGCTACTTGCGTTTCTTATTTTTTGAGTTGACTATCTGTGTCCTTTGCAATGTCTGTTCTGAGTTTACTAAGAAGATCTGGGAGGTTCATTGGATAGAATACCTTTTCTCTGTGAAAGAACTAACCGGGGGTTAAACTTTGGGAGGTAGTGGTTTTCAGAGACATGTGGCCAACCTTCTCCGCGGTGTATTTGCATTTCCCACTAAAAATGTCTCACAGGTTGTAAATTTGACTTTTCTGCACTTCAGCAGCAACATGGTTTCAATACTAATGAACGATCTGTGTATGCAGTCTTGGGGAGCTTAGCAGCCACTTTTGTACAGACCAAAAGTAACTAACGGCTGTCTGGAGTGTGTGGTGGGTGTAAGGTGTAGAGACGTCTGTGTATTCCGCTATGGGAGGCATAAGCATGGCCTGGCCCAGTGTTCCCCTGTGTCCGTCTGTGAAATCACGTTTACCTAAAGCTGAACCTGGGAAACAAGTTGTGTATTTTGGGTCTCTGTGAGGTTGCACAAGATCACTATATTTCAGGGTTCTGATTCCATCTCTCAAGGAATAGTTCGTTGAAAATTTGCTTCTTTTAGAGAGACCACACTGGCTACCCCCCCACCTCAGATTGTGTATTAGTTATTTTTCTCATTTCTGAGACAAAATACTTGACACTGTAACTTAAAGGAGGAAAGGTTTATTGTAGCTCACAGTGTGTAGCAGACTCAGTTCATAGTCAGCCAGCTCCAAGGCAGGGTGGCATAACGGAGGAGAAACAGTCCATGGCAAGGCAGGACATGCACTAGGCAGCAAATGAAAAGCAAGTGACAAGCATTAAGGGACAAGCAGGGTCCCTCTTTCTGTCCCTCATGTCCTATCCAGGGTACTTACTCTTACAGTGGGGAACACTCACACTCAGGGAGAGGCAGCCCTAATCCTAGCATTGTACCATGAATCAATCCCAGCATCACATCCTTGATCCCAGCAGCACAAACCCTAGATCCAGCCACTGCCAAAGAGCCCCACCTATGACCACATGAGGCTTTGGGAGGACATCTAAATATGAGCCACGACAGATTGCTTTCTCAATGCTGAGCTTCCTAAGCACATATATTTCTAAACTTGCTCAAAAGAGATGCTCAGTGTAACCCAGACCCTGTTTTCCTCACATGAGAGCCTTCTTCCTAGCTTATGATCCTCAAGCTGAAATCTGGGCCTTCTCACATCTCCTCAAAGCAGACCCAAGCCACAGGCACTGATGACGGATGTGGAACTGACTGATGTTTATGGAGAGATGAAGGAGAATGGTACATAATCTACACCCAACAATTAAAAAGGTGCAAGTTTTCACCTCTTTCGTCTTTCTCCATGAGTCTCAGGCTCGCTCTTTCTCTCCTTCTCTCTCTCTGTCCCTCTCTCTCTGTCACTCTCTCTCTCTCCTGTCTGTCTCTGTCTCTTTCTCATTCCCTAAAGCAATCACTAGTTATCTCTTTGCTCCCCTCACTCTCTTCAAATTTCTCGAAGTCTCCAGTTCATCTTGATGCCCAGAAAAATCTGGATTTTCCAAAACAAGTGCAGGTCTTTCTATTGTAGAATGTACTACTGAGTGAATTAAGGTCTTCTCCAGGTTGCCAAGCTATGTTGCAAGGATTATTTTGTCCCTTCACGCATCCGCCATTCTGCTTGCACTCCATCTCCATCTCCAGTGTGGGGACACACTTCCTCCAGGGCTGTGCACAAAGTCAGTTCTCAACAGATGCATGGCAACCAGCCAGGTTCTCCTGTCCATTCCATTGCTAGTGTGGTATTGGCATGGGGAGTGCATGAATACTCACACAGGTGAGTGATGGCTGCATAGAGTATGCATCTCAGGAATGCAGAGTGTAAGGGGTGTGTCTTAGTCACCTTTCTCTCATTGCTGAGACAAAATACCCACTGCCCCAAAGTGAAGCAGGAAAGGTTTATTTAGCTCACAGTTTGTAGAAGTTTCAGTTCATAATCAGCTGGCTCCAAGGCAGGCTGGCACATGGCAGAGGGCAACAGTTCAGGGCAGCAGAAGATACC